AAATGAAAAAAAGGAACATACCGAACACACTCGAATAAAACCAACAGTAGAAGAAACTTTTGAATAGTGAAAATCCAAAAGCATAAAAAAACGATGGTTTTCGAACTGTCGTTGATTCGGATAGATGAACATTTCAGCCCAAGAACCATCCAGGCAACCAGTTCCATTTTACCCCAACCCTGGTCCCTGGCAAAAAATTGTTGAATCGATCAACGACCCATTGACCTTGGCGTTCGAACAGTCAACCCGTTGACCCATTCAATGGTTTTGACCATTTTTTTTAATTGGGAACTGTCCAGGCAATCGGTTCTATTTTATACCAATCCCGATCCCTGGCCAAAAACCGTTGAATCAATCAATGACCCATTGAACCGGGTGGTCGACCGATTAACCCGTTCAATGGTTTTGGCCATTTTTTTATTATTTTTTTAATTTTTGTTGTCAGAACGGGCAGTCTGTTCAAACCAGATGGTCGAACCGTCAACCCAAAAACCGGTGGCCAGAACAGTTTCATTTTTGAGTCGTATGAGTCACATGCTCGAATGACATAACACGTATGGTACTACTTAATGGACCTCACACACTCAAATTTTTTCCTGTAATTTTTGTTGTCATAATGAGTCATCCATTCAAATCGGATGGTCAAACCACCATTTTTTTATTTTTTTAATTGGGAACCATCCATGCAACCGGTTCCGTTTTACCCCAATCCCGGTCCCTGGCCAAAAGCCGTTGAATTTGTTAATGACCCATTGACCCTAGTGGTTGAATTGTTGACCCATCCAATGGTTTTTGGTCACTTTTTATTTTTATTTTTTATTTTTACTGTCAAAGCAAGTCGTCCGTTCAAACTGGATGGTCGAATAGTCAACCCAAAAACCGATGGCCAGAACAATTCCGTTTTTGGGTCGTATGCGTCATGCACTCGAATGACATAACACGTATGATATTGCTTAATGGACCTCATACACTCAATTTTTTCCCTATAATTTTTGTTGTTAGAACGGGCTGTCCGTTCTAACTGGACGGTCGAACCGTCGACTTGAAAACCAATGGCCAGAACGATTCCGTAGTTTTTTCTTATAGTTTTTGTTGTTAGAATGGGCCATTCGTTCGAACCATCAACCCAAAACCGATGGCATGTATATATAACCGGTTCCATTTTACCCAAAACCCAGAATCTGGTAAAAAACCATTGAAAAAGTCAACAAATCGTTAACCCAGGCAGTTAAACCGTCGACCCGTTTAACGGTTTTTTCGCATTTTTTTATTTTTTTTAATTATTTTTTAATTTTGCTGTCAGAACGGGCCGTCCATTCGAACCGGACAGTCGGACCATTGACCCAAACGGTGGCCAGAACGGTTCCATTTCTAGGTCATTTTTTAAAGCATTGATATATATATATATATATATAAAAGGGTTTTTCGCATTTTTTTATTTTTTTTAATTATTTTTTAATTTTGCTGTCAGAACGGGCCGTCCATTCGAACCGGACAGTCGGACCATTGACCCAAANAACCGGACAGTCGGACCATTGACCCAAACGGTGGCCAGAACGGTTCCATTTCTAGGTCATTTTTTAAAGCATTGATATATATATATATATATATATTAAAGGGCTGCCATTTGGTGAAGGGAGACCACCCCTATCCCTTTAATAGATATACTAGCGGAGGGTCCCTGCTTCGTAGGGCAGGATTGGAATTTTAATATTGTTATTTGCTACATCAAAAAAGATAATGGTATCTTAATAAGAAACTAGCAGTTATAAGTACTCAAGTCTTGAAACTCATATAAAGACTTAAAAGAGATTATTATGTGCCTTTTTTTTTTAAATATTGCTTCAACAAAGTATGTCATATAAAAGAGTGCGATCATATAGTGATAGTTTTGAGTTCTACTTCATAGTTGTCCTTTGTTTCATATCGAGAACTCCTAATTGACCTGGACGGTAGGGCCGCTCGGCCCAGGAACCATCTAGGCAACCTGTTCAACGGCTTTTGGCAATTTTTTATTTTTAATTATTTTTTATTTTAATTATTTTTGTTGTTAGAATGAGCCATCCGTTTGAATTGGACGGTCGAACCGTCGACCTAGAAACCGATGGCCAGAACGGTTCTATTTTTGGGTCGTTTTTTCTAGATGTCAATAATTAGACGAAATAACTTTGTAGTCATAGTCATGAGAAAGGTGGACATTGCAAGGAATTCCAAAAGCTTGAAAGATAAATCCAAAGTGAGCTTAAACACAAAAAAAAATGGTTGTAGATCCACCAAATTGGAAAAACCAAGGAAAAAAAATCAGAAAATTGAGTCTAAAGTTTCACTTTGAGATAGAGCTAAACATACATGCAATCAAAGAAAGAGACAAAGTAGACCATGTTATAAGAAAATAAATAAAAAACATTGCACAAGAAAACCCAAAGAAAAAACAAAAGGGAAAAAATAAAATGGTGGTAAACCCTAAACCGTTTTGGAGAATCTTGAAGAAGAAGACCAAATGCAAAAAAATAAATAAATAAATAAGCAAAAAATGAAAAAAAAGGAACATACCACACATGCTCGAATAAAGCCCCCAGTAGAAGAAACCATTGAATAGTGAAAATCCAAAAGCATCAAAAACATGGTTATCGAACCACCGTTGACCCGGATGGATGAACATTTCAGACTGGGAACCGTCTAGGTAATCAGTTTCATTTTACCCCAATCCTGGTCCCTAGCCAAAAACCGTTGAATCGGTCAATGACCCATTGACCCGAGTGGTCGAACTGTCAAGCCATTTGACTTGTTCAATGGTTTTTTGCCAATTTTTTATTTTTAATTGGGAATCATCCAGGTAGTCGGTTATGTTTTATCCCAATCCCGGTCCTTGGCCGAAAACCGTTGAATTGGTCAATGACCCATTGATCCGGGTGGTCAAACCATTGACCCGTTCAATGGTTTTTGGACATTTTTATTTTTTATTTTTTATTTTTGTTGTCAAAACAGGCCGTCCATTCAAACTGGATGTTCGAAGCATCGACCCGAAAACCGGTGGCCAAAATGGTTCCGTTTTCGGGTCATATGGGTCACACGCTCGAATTACATAACACGTATGATATTGCTTAATGGACCTCACACACTCATTTTTTTGCTTGTAATTTTTGTTGCCATAATGGGTCGTTCATTCGAATTAGACGACCGAACCGCCATTTTTTTATTTTTTTAATTGGGAACAGTTTAGGCAATCGATTCCATTTTACCCCAATCTCGGCCCCTAGAAAAAATCGTTGAATCGGTCAACGACCCATTGACCCGAGCGATCGAATCGTTAACCCATTGACTCGTTCAATGGTTTTGGCCATTTTTTTATTCTTTTAATTTTTGTTGTCAGAACGGGCCGTCCGTTCTAACCGGACAGTCAAACCGCCGACCCGAAAACCAATGGTTAGAACGGTTCCATTTTTGGGTCGTATGAGTCACGTGCTCAAATGATATAACACGTATGATACTGCTTAATGAACCTCACACACTCAATTTTTTGCCTGTAATTTTTATTGCCAAAACGGGCCACCCATTTGAACTGGACAGTCGAACCATCGACCCGAAAATCAGTGACAAGAATGGTTCCATAATTTTTTGCCTGTAATTTTTGTTGTCAGAACGGGCCGTCCATTCGAACCGGACGATCAAACCATCGACCCAAAAAACGGTGGAAAATAAGATATATAAAATTTCTTATGTTTGTTTCTTGTAATGTGAGAATTTTGAAGAATCTTTAGTAATTATAATGGATTTCAATTACTACCATTATAATTGTTAGTAATTTTGCCTGTAATTTTTATTGTCAAAACGGGTCGTCCATTTGAACTGGATGGTTGAACCGTCAACCCGAAAAACCAATGACCAGAGTGGTTCCATAATTTTTTACTTATAATTTTTGTTATCAAAACGGGCTATCTGTTCAAAACAGACAATCGAACCATCGACCCAAAAACCAATAACAGATAAAATATATAAAATTTCTTATATTTGTTTCTTGTAATTTGAGAATTTTAAAGAATTTTTGGTAATTATAATGAATTTGAATTACAGCCATTATAATGATTAATAATTATAATAGTTAGTAATTATAATGGTTAGTAATTATAATCGATAAATTTAATTAGTAATTAAATTAATACCATATAATCGTTAATAATTATAATTATAAATTTAATAAATAATTAAATTAATGCCATGTGGCGAAAGGGGAGACAACCCCTTATTAATATATATATATATATATATATATATATATAAAAGATATAAGATTTGTATTGATTAATCCAAACGACCAAAACATTCAGAGCGAGTTTGAATCTGGTCCCAGAGTCCTGATCCCAAGTCCCAACATCCATTCCGTCCCTGCATTAGAAACATTTTATGGCGAAATATTATTGGTGTACAACTAGACCTGTTCACAGGTCTGGCCCTGTTGGGCTTTTATCAATAGAAAATATCTAGGCCCGAGTCCGACCTTTAGGCCTAAATCTTGAGCCCAAGCCCCGTCCGAAGCCTGATCTTTATATTATTTTTTTGTGTAAATTAATAAATTAGTAAATTAATTCATATTTCCTAAATAGTAAATTAATATTCGATAATAACTTTATAAATAAAAATATATATTATATAAAGAAATTTTCAAAAATTCACATCACTTTTTATAAATTCTATTAAAGTCACCATAACTTTTTAAAACATCCAAAACTCACCATGTCAGTGATTTTATTTTTTAAAACTCACCATGTGTTAGAACATTGTTAAAATTCATTGACCCAAGTTGTCCATGTCAACCTAAATGCAAATTTCATGACAAAATTGCCCCTGAATGTTGAGCTTTAGACCTTTTGAATAGTTATGGTGAGTTTTGCAATCAATCGAACAACCCTTGTGAAATTACAAAAATAGAGACGAGGAAAGAACATAAGAGAGACGAAATTGCAGAGAAGCTACAGCTGGGTTTTATACATCTCTCGCGACCCTACTCTCTCTCTCTCTCTCTCTTAGGACGATGTCGAAGTGATGAAAAGTGGGTTTGGTTTTTCTAAACCGCTAATGGGATTCTCCAGTTTATTATTTTCTTGTTACTGGTTTTCTTTCTTCTTGGAAAATCAGATCTTGCAACGGAGCGACGGAACTAAATCAGTGATATAAGGGTATCCCTTCCATCTGGGGTAAGCATTGTCCTCTCCATTGTTCCTGAAAGCAACAGCCAACAGAGTAGACAATAATGAGGAAGATAATGTTCACGGCAGCCACCTTCTTCCAGTCCTTCTTGAGGTTGTCAAGTACTCCAGCCTTGCAAGAATCGCAGTTGAAACAGAGCGAGCCTGTGGGGCTGTCCCAGTTATTGCAATCAGAAAGCTCGCTGGTTGTATTGGTTTTCGTCCAGACTGTTGGGCTCACGTATAGGAAATTACATGCTGTTGGAGGCTTACAGCAGCCTGACTGAATTGAAGACAAATGCCGGGCGTAAAATTCTTCCACCGATTCGGCAGCAAAGTCATTGAGACTCTTGCAGACATGGCTATCCATCAAACAACTCTTGATCTTCCTCCAGTTGTTGTTGTTAACCCTCTTCTGCARCCAGTTGGAATAATCCCCCAACTTATAATCCTTATACCCTTTACCTGACAACACCTCTCCACCGATTCGCCGCTTTCTCCGTCCTAACAAAGCGGTGCCGACGACAAGCGGAGGTAGCAGCTCCAACAACAGTAACAGTGGTGGAAAGAAGTTGTCTGGAGGAGCTATTGGAATCGCAATCGGGTCGGTGGTGGCTTTCCTCTTGATTCTTCTGATTTTGTTCCTTCTCTACGGAAGTCAATATCAAATCTTCACATTCTCAGACGATGGGAGAAGCAACGCGGCTATGGATGCAGCCAAATACTTTCTGACTGTTAAAGGTTTTGGGTTGAAGAATGATAGAGTAATTTTGGGATGTGGTAAAATGGGTCAACATAATAAAGGGTAAAATAGTAAATTAGCGATTTGAAAAGTTATGGCGAGTTTAAGAGAATTCATAAAAATGGTTTTAGACAATTTCCCTATTATATATTTATTATATATAAATAATGTATATTTCTATTATATGTAATAGTATCAGCGGGCCCGGGCTGGCCTTACTTGAAAAAGTCCAAGCCCAATATGAAAAATAGTCAAGTCTAGTATCTAAAGCCTGAGCTTAACTTTATAGGTCTAAAATTTTGTCCAAGCCCAAAAAATATTAGGCCGGGCCAAGTTGGTCTGTCGGGCTACCCGACCCATGAACAAATTTATGTACAACTGTAATAGTTGTGTAAATCAGTAAAAATGTAATGGCTGTTGGCCCCTGTGTTGGGAACCAGATCCGAACTCGAGTAGAGCATATATGTAGATGTATGTCATTCATACGCTATGGTTGTATTGACACTGTTTTCAAAACCAAATCAGATTGGATGGTCAAGCCAGAAAAACCGGGTTCCATTTCACCAAAAACCAGTTTTGGTCAAAAACCATTGATTTGGTTAGCAAACTGTTGACCTGAACCATCAACTGTCAAACTAGACAATGATTTTTTGTTGTTTTTTGTTTTTTGTTTTTAATTTTATTGTCAGAACAGGCCATCCATTCAAACCAGACAATCTGACTGTTCAACCCAGGAACTGATCCCCATAACAATTCCCTATCCGTCCGATTTTAAAAACCTTATGTATTGATGTTATACGCCTAGGCTGAGATCAGATCGGCGCCCCACATGCACATCTCATCATGCATTCGAAATATCTCGTGGGGCGCACCAATCTGATCTCGTCTAGGCTACCTACTTTCTATTATAAATTCACCAAAAAAATCTTGAAAAATGATTTTTTGCCACGTGAAAGAAGATTTTACATCTCACCGTGAAACTGGGACATGTGTGGATATGTGGTGTGAGATATGTTAGTAGAAGGATGAACGTGTTTTATTGGCAGGTGATCCGGACTCGGACTCATTACACTCATAGATGGAAGTTGGGGGCCACTTGGGTTGCCACGTGTCCTTCTTCGATTCCGATTTCCGAAAGCAAGCTTACCTCTTTCCAATACGAGTCTAAAAAGCAAGTATAAAGGGATGCTAATATAGAATTTCACCACATTTTCCATGTGCTTAACGCCTTCAAGGATTTTGAGCCGTCCATCCACGATTGGACGTCTCAGGATGCATTTTTTCGTGCTTATCGTCGACGCGTCGCAGTAGTAGTTGGTTCCCTCTAACGCCACCGTTTCAGAAAAATCTCGCGTATTCGTCGCCATCTCTTCCTCCTTGTTCGCTCTCTGTTTTAATTCCAGTGAAATCTCGACCTAACTGTTCCGAATCACCACTTGGTTTCTCGATTGAGCTGCTCTGTTCGGTAATTCACAGGCGTTTATTGTCTTCGGCGTTCAATTTTCTTTTCTATTTTTCATCGTAGTGAAGCATAAATTATGATTTTCGCATTTAAATGGCAATCGTGAATCGACTGTCGCAGTAACTGTTTAATTGCTGTTATAAAGTCGATAATTTCCCGCCATTTATGCCATTTTTATCTGAAATCGAAGAACTAAGGGGATTTCGAATCAGTTTCGTGTTGGATTCGTCTGTTGTACTGATTTCTTGTTTGTTCTTGGTTTTAGAAGGATTTTCCAAGTAATTCGGATGTTGCGGTTCGAAGTGATGCGGAAATTAGTTTAAAGGTGTAGAATTTAGCCCGTTAGGTTGGATTTCGTTTCTGATATTAGGGTTTTTTCTTTTTCTCCTTTTCTCCTGCTTAACTTTTACATTTTTGCGTCATGCTAATTTGTTGTTGTGCACATGTTCACTCGTATTTGGTGGATAAGGGCTTTGGAGATGGTTACTGAGAGTCCATTAAAGATGTTCTCGAATCTAGACGGGAGGCCAACGTTAGGAGAAGATCTTAGAGGATCCAGTGTTAATCTAGAAGATACTTTCGGGAAGGAGCTCGAGTTCCTGCTGCGAGAGCAGCGCAATAGAGATGTTATTGATCGGGAGAGGGACCTAAATATATACAGGAGCGGTAGCGCACCTCCGACGGTTGAGGGATCCCTGACTGCTATCGGCGGTCTTTTTAGGGATTCTGGTGCTGACTTTTCGGGGATTAATAGGAACTCCAATACCAACGGAATTCTGTCAGATGAAGAGCTTCGCTCACATCCCGCGTATCTGTCTTACTACTATTCCCATGATAATATCAATCCTAGACTTCCTCCTCCTCTGTTGTCGAAGGAGGATTGGCGTGTCGCGCAGAAGTTTCAGACTGGTACGTCGCCATTTGGAGGAATTGGGGATCGGAGGAAGAAGGATATAATTGATGAAGGAGAAAGCAAATCATTGTTCTCTTTGCAGCCTGGTCTTCCAGCACAGAAGGGTGAAGGCGATTTCGTTGAGCCAAAGAAAGTCACACCAAGGAACCTCACTAGACAACCTTCTGCAGAATGGCTTGAGAGAAACAATGATGGCCTCATTGGATTGGCAGGCGTGGGGTTGAGCGCGAGGAGGAAGAGTATTGCTGACTTCCTGCAGGTGCTTGGTTTATCCTGTAATAAATTTTTGTTGCTTTCATTATACTTGTGTCTCTGTATTCCGTGTGCTGGGGAATTGTCCTTTTATACTTTACGAAGATTTTTTCTGTCACCCTTTATATCATGAAATTTTTGAATTTTTTTTGCATATGCTGCTTTTTCTCTTGTAACAAGAAATTAACTGTCGTCATATCCTGAGTGCATGAAGGGCTGACAATCAGTTTCTTAATGTACTTTTCTAATACCTGATGGAGTTGCTGGCAGTTCATTTTTAACATCACTCACTATTAGTGATGTCATGTACAGAAATGTCATGGGCACTGCACAGTACCTTGTTGTGCAGATTGTGGTATTTTTTTTAGTTATTAATAATGCAATACTTTAACCTTTCTCTCTCTCAAAGCAAAATAAAAACTATTAGTGGTATGAAGTGTAATATATATATATATATATATATATATATAGTGCAGCTTTGATTATGAAATGTTGTGTACTTTTTATGCTTTTGAGTTATGCTTTCTACTTATTGCTTAAGATATTTTTGTTTAGGCCATATATTGTATTATTTTGTCAGTCATGTTACCCCTTTTTGTGCTTTAGCCTGATACATGAAAGCAAATGGTTAGAATAACTCAACTTATCATAATAATCTTAATAGAGATTAGTGGCTTTTCAAACCACTATATTATCTTTCATCTTATTTTGTAGTTTTATGTCATACTATTTCCTTAATTTATGAACAAACCAGGAAGCAGTTGCAACGTATAATAGGATGGGACTCAACATATAGGAGAGTAGAACTGGCATGCAACTCAATAAAAGATTTCATTTGTAATAAACATCTTCAATCTTCATACCAACATGGTCAAGAAAAAATTGGGGTTGTTTGTGTTGCCTCTCTGTTTTGGAGGGTTTGGGGATTGTACTTTCTTTTCTCTCTTCATATTATTAATAATTCTTTTATGCAAATTAAAATACACTGATGTTCAAAGTTCCAAAAATTTTGGTTTTCACTTGCAGTCGGTTCCATTTTTTATGTGCATTCCTTTTTTCTGGCAGTGGTATGCATGAGGCAGGTAGTTTTTTTACCAGTTTCTGGAATACCCCGTAGAAAACTTTCTGCACTATTTGTGATTCATTTTCTAGTTAAATGTTTAATGCCTTTAAACAGACAGATATCTCCCTTCCTATGGTTATGTATGCTTTTACTCTGCTGAGAAATTATAGCTTGTGCCAGAGGCACACTGAATGCTATTTTCCAAAGTAACTCTACCAGCAACTTTCAATGTCCGGTATTCCTGAAGCACAGGCATCCTGGAAACTCTATTTGCTGCTGAGATGCATGGCAGTTTTAAATCTTTATTAACTATACATTTTGCTAATGAAATGGTTGGACCACTTACTTTTACTCCATAATCCCTTTCACTTGGTGACTTGGTGTCGCTGGTATTTGTTTTGTCACTTTATGCATTTAGTAACTAGCCTTTTTTTTCTAGCTTTTGTCATCCACTAGCTGAGATGGATCTCTTTTTGCTAGCATGTTTATACACTGAACACATTGTTCGAATGACTGTGCAAGCCATTTGATTAAATTGTCATTGCCAAGTGCCAAGTTCCAAGTTCTGACAGCAGTTCATGTAATGCACATTGAATGTGGTCATGCAAAATACTTGGTTTTCTAAGTCAGTTCAGTTCAAACAGTATGATGTGTGGGATCTGCAATGCTTCCCAAAATTAACTTTTGCTTATGTTCTCTTGTTCCATATTTTATGGCTTTGTTTGTACTGATGTTAAGTCAATTTCATTACAGGAAGGACTAGGTAAACCTACCTCTGTATCTGGTAATATTTCTCGACCAGTTAGCTGTAATGCTATTGATGATGCTGTGGAACCGAGGGGAATTTCTGATCCCCAACTGGCACAGCTATGTAATGGAGTGGATTCTGTAGATAGCTTACATTCTGGAGCAACTTCCCCTGGCCTGGCTAGAGTTCAAAGTTTTGGTTCATCTCTTTCTCAATCTTTTGCTTCAGCTCTGGGTTCTTCTCTGCCCAGGAGTACAACCCCTGAATCTAAGTTGGTTATGAGGTCACCTGGCCCTCGTCTTCCCCCTGTGGGTGGTAAGAAAAATGCTGTTAGTTCAAATGCCTCCAATAGCCTTTCTTCTGGAACAGGTGATCACACTGATATTGCAGCTACTTTTTCTGGCTTAAGCCTATCAAAAAGTAGACTTCTAGATGAAGATAGTAATGTACAGTCACAGCTCCAACAAGAATTTGATAATAAGACTAGCTTCCAGTATGATATGCCAAATGGTCATAAACAAAGCCTGCAGCAACAACTCATTGACAAATCTGAGACTGAAATACTAACCCTACCTAACATGTACAAAGATCTAGCAAAAACCGACCATAATATTTCCAAGGTAAGTTTTGATGGGCATGCAAACTTGCCAAAAAGAACATCCTCTTCTGCCAATCTCTTCACAAAAGTGCCTTCTTCAGCATCTGCAAGCCTAGAGGGATCTAGTGTTCATTATCAGAATAAGGATTTACCAAATGTCGATTTTGGCGGGTATATCCAACGTGGCTATTCTGTCAATCAGAGGTTGAATTTAGTAATGAACAATCACCTTGATACAGGTAATTTGCTTCTTTCTTGCTAAGATTTCTTTAGTTTACTTGTATCAGAAAACCTCAATTGGACAAATTTTTTTGACATGTCTTTTGCCTCTAGGTATACCATTAGCAGGCAATATAGAGGGACCAAGTCTAAGTAGAAGAGGAAATCAACTAGGGTCTGGCATTCAGTTGCCAGTCATGGACCCTCTCTACTTGCAGTACTTGCAAAGAACTTCTGATTATGCAGAACAGGGTGCAAGTGGCTTGACTGATGCTTCTTTAGGAAGGAATTACCTAGGTACTTCAGAGGCAGACTTATTTGGGTTTCAGAAAGCGTACCTTGAGGTATTGCTTGCCCAACAGAAACAACAGTATGGCCTGGCATTTTTAGGTAAACCCAGTGGTCTAAATCATGGATACTATGGGAATCCTGCATTTGGCCTTGGCTTGCCATATCCTGGAAACCCCCTGGCAAATCCTGGACTTCCTTCTATTGGGCCTGGAAGTCCTATCCGACAGAGTGAGCGAATCTCACGTTTCCCTTCCATGATAAGAAGTTCAGCAGGAGGATCTGCAGGATCTTGGCACTCAGATAATAGTGGAAACATGGATGAAAGTTTTGCATCATCACTACTGGAAGAGTTTAAGAACAACAAGACCAGGTCTTTTGAACTTTCAGAAATTGTTGCTCATGTTGTCGAATTCAGGTATAATCATATGCCTTTGGTCGGTATCTTATTTTTCTCCTGCAGCTGCAGGCATAACACTGAGTCTCTCCCTCTCTCTCTCTCTCTCAATGCAGTGCTGATCAGTATGGTAGTCGCTTTATTCAACAGAAATTAGAAACTGCTTCAGTGGAAGAAAAGAACAAGATATTTCCAGAGATCATTCCCCAAGCTCATACCTTGATGACAGATGTCTTTGGAAACTATGTCATACAGAAAGTATGCACTTCACCGTCTATGAAACTATGTATATTTGCGTCAAAGTATTCCAGACCTGTCTCTTACATTGTTTTGCTTGAAATGGCAGTTTTTTGAACATGGTACAGAGAGTCAAAGAAAAGAGTTAGCTAGCCAGCTTACTGGTCATGTTTTGCCTCTTAGTCTCCAAATGTATGGCTGCAGAGTGATTCAGAAGGTGCCTCTTTAAGCTTTGGTTGTTTATATGCTTTTACATCTCACCTAAAGTTTCTGCCTTGCTGCATCTGCTTCACATCTGTGGTTTTCATTGTCTTCATATTAAATCATTATCTTGCAGTTAGGAAACTCTATGCTACAGTTTCTATATGGAGTTACATATATTGCCATTTTTTTCATCGGAATGCTTCCTTACAGGTAATTGTCTATGAATTTGAAAATTGGTTTTGATCACCAAAATCAAACTTTTGCTTCTCATGATAGAGAACTAACGCATACCATCTATGCGTCAATGGGTAGAATGAAGTTGTAGACCACGAATGTCTGTGTCTAACAAAATTTTGAACAGTGAATGGTTCACTGTGGGGTGTGGAGACTTCAAATGCTGTGTCTGCTATCTAAGTGACTAAGAGGAATGAACTATATAATATGGATTAGGTAAACAAAAAGGACGTTTCCATTATTGGTTTAACATCTCAAACTGCAATTTCTGAGAATGATGGAAAAATGAATTAGAATAGATAATGATAGAGTCCCTTTCACTTATAAGGTGTGGAGCTACTTGTAACTTATTTGGTGTTGCTTGGTTCACCACTTCTGAAGTGGTACAGTTGTTCACCTTCCAACTCACTAAGCACACAAAAAGAGGGAATATTCTTTGGTACCGCATAAGGGCTGCAATTCTGTCCAAGTACAATTGGACAATGGTCTGAAATGTAGATGATGCACCTGGGCTTTGTTTAGTCACTTCATAAGTATGGGCCAGCCAGGAGTACACACATTATGTAATATAAATAGAATTCTAAGGGAGCAGCAGCATACTTTTGTTCCCCTTTCTTTTTTTGTCGTTCTTCAATTCTCTCTTCTCTCTTCTCTCTTCTTTTCTTCCCTTCTCCAGACATCCTTCAAATCTGTTTTTGGGTTACACTTTTTTCCCATAGTGTAATGGGCCTATTGGTTTATATCTTTATTTGTTTAGTTCACTTTTATAAGTATGGGCCAGCCAGGAGTATGATGGTCATTGTACACACTTATTATGTTGACATAAATAGAAGTCTAAGGGAGCGGCAGCATGGTTTTGTTCCCCTTTCTTTTTATCATTCTTCCATTCTCTCTTCTCTCCTGTTTTTTTCCCTCCTCCAGACATCCTTCAAATCTGTTTTGAGTTGCACTTTTTCCCCTATTTGGTTGACTATCTGTCATGCCATTACAGTTATTAGACACATACCTCTTTTCTATGATTTAAAGTATTATTGTGGAATTGACTTTGATATATATACCTTATGCAAGTTCTATATTGCTTTTGTCTTTTCAGTTTGCATAGATGTACTTGTCATGTTCAGGTTTTATTTCTCTTTTTGGTATCGATACCCCATGGTTGAAACTTATGCTTTTAATTTTTTATACAGGCTCTAGAGGTGGTTGATGTGGATCAGCAGACTCAAATGGTGCAAGAGCTTGATGGTTCAGTCATGAAATGTGTTCGTGATCAGAATGGTAATCATGTTATCCAGAAGTGTATTGAGTGTGTTTCTCAAGATCGGATTCAGTTTATTATCTCTGCCTTCTATGGGCAAGTTGTGGCACTTTCCACCCACCCATATGGTTGTCGTGTCATTCAGGTATTATGTCTACTTCATTTCCCATTCTTTCATATTCCTTTATGCTATCCTCTGAAGAAGTTCCTTTTCTTCTAACAGAGGGTGCTTGAGCATTGCGATGATGCCAATACCCAACAGATCATCATGGAAGAAATCTTGCAATCTGTTTCTACTTTGGCGCAAGATCAATATGGGAATTATGTTGTTCAGGTTGGTAGTTTCCCTTGTGATATTTCTTAGAAACCTGTTAGAAAGAGGTGAAAAGTAGAGAAAGTGATAGAAAACTCTGTTCAGTCAGAAAAGAAAGTAACAAGGTTAGAAGGAAGAAGAAGAAAAGGTAAAGAAGGGTTTTCAGTAGGGAGGAATTGAATCCCCCTCCCTGACTATCAACCCATGTTTTATTTAGCATCTAATATATAACAAATTTACAAGTATACCCCTGAAAAGTAATTCATAATAGAGAGACTAAAACATGAATGTAAAAGACAATATTGCCCCTGCTAATTAGACTTTGACATCTCTTAAAAAACCTTTTTTTAATGGTTTTAACTTTTAATGTCAGTTGATGAAACTATCAATCAAATGGCATTTCTTTTCGAGTTATGATAAGGTCTGGTTGCCTGGGATTTTTTTTTTTTCGTTTATGGAGTATCTATTATTTTTCTATGTTAATTAGTGATGGAGGCTTTTTTGGTTTCATTTGATGCTGTTGTTACATGTTTCCAGATTGTACATCTCTTCATTGTTGGCATGTCTGCTTATTTTCTTTTTTTTTTTTTTTAAATTATCTATAAGAAAGTGGGTTGAATTTGGGGGATGGAATATATTTTGGGCTAGAAAATATTGTTATAAAGGGTTTTTTTATCTGTTAATGTACTCTTAGTATGCTAGGAAGATGATGTATTAGTAAAGTAAAAAGGCCTATATACCTAGTTAAAGATGTATTGGCAGAAGAGTTTATGTTCCCTCCACTAAAGTGGATGTTGCTCCATATTGTTTCTTCTGACCTTCTATAATATAAGTAGCTGAGGCATTCTTCACATTCTGCTCTGTTATACTGTTGTTCGTTTATTATATCCTTCTATGAAATACGTTGCTTTGTTTTTCTTTGGTGCATATAAAATGATATCCGTTCTACTTTGAGATATTTATAATCTTATTGTCTTGTTTACTTTTAATTTAAGATCTTATTCTAGAACTTCCTTATTGATTCTAAAACTGGTATCCTTTTCTTTCTGAGGATTCTCCCCACCACTTATTTTTGTTCTCTTGATGTGGTATGTCTTTTTTTGCTTTTCTCAGCATGTGCTGCAACATGGGAAACCACATGAACGATCTGCTATAATTAGCAAGCTTGCTGGACAGATAGTAAAGATGAGTCAACAGAAGTTTGCTTCCAATGTTGTTGAAAAGTGTTTAACCTTTGGTGGTCCTGAAGAACGTCAGCTTCTCGTAAATGAGATGCTTGGTTCCACAGATGAGAATGAACCTTTGCAGGTTTGTGTGGCAAATTTCCCTTTTAAATTCCAAAATGATTTTCCTCTTTTAATTTGGTTGAAGATCAATTGTCTCAATAGTTGCTACCCTTTATAGGTCATTACTAAAAGTTGGTCCTGGGCTATCTGGGGATCCAACTTTCGTCATTATTTACACCAAGTCTCCATTCTCAGACATGAACCCACATTCTTATGCTTGTCAGTCCTAGATTTTATTATTGCACCAAGCAATGGCCCCTTATTGGTAACACGTTTGAGAATAAAGTACTAAACTTTTGAGGATCAAGTAATTTATGCTTTTTTAATTTTTGTGAAGCACTGTTGATTCTTCCTTGGTTTTGTTGCATGCACAAGTACATACTTATATACATATAAATATTACAGTTATACAATGCTCTGATTTAACTTTTATGTCCAGCACTAAAACCAAGGCAAATATTGGCATTATATAAAACATGCTGCCACTGTATTCATTGTATATATTCTTTTCTGGGTTTTCTTAATTTTGGGGAGTATACTTTCTTACTCAAGTCTCAGCTCAAAATCTTCTGGGGCTTGATCTATTATTGTTGCTTACCATTCTTTTCATGGTATACGAGATCCAATCACTAAAACTTATGCTTCATTTTGTTTTTTGTACCTTTGATCCTCTTCATCACAATTTTTTGATTGGTAACTGTCCACTTTGCGAGACCTCACAAGCATGACATCATGATCCACTTGGAGTCTGCTAATTGCTTTCAATCAGATAGCGGTTGATCTGGAATTTATCCACTTTTTTTTTTTTTTTTTTTTTTTTTTGTTTTGTTGTGGGGGGGGGGGGGGAGGGGGGCGGCGGAGAAGGTAAAGTATTTTATTATAAGAAACTAAGCTCTGATTACATGTTAGGTCAGATATGAGTTCCTATATCTCCTGCCTTCTCTCATCTCATATATGTAGAAAACAGTTTTACCTGTCTTGTTTGTGCATTTGTTTGTCACAATTTTTTTTTGAAAAGGCAGAATTATGAGGGTAAGGTGCTAGGATCTTTTGAATTGTGATGTGTAAACCTCATGAGATCTCATTCTTTTAAGAGAAAAATATTAACTAAAATGAAAAAAAAAAAGTGTGGAACAATGCATAAAAAAATCACATTTTTAAATATGAATGGTATATAAATGGATTAATCATCATATAAACAAGGAGATACACTAATACAAATCCCTCTACACTGTATGCTAATAATGCAAACATGACCAAGAAAACTGAAAAGTGGTCTTTAACTTTGTTTTCGATGGGAATTTTATTGCAATTAATGTATGGAACATGTGTTCTGGACACACTATATCTGAAGATGAGACATATACCATGTACTTTTGGACATGAGCCTCAAGGTTGAGCCTTAACCCTTAGGGTGGACAAGTTTCCCATCTGATGCACTAACTTCTGCCTCCTCTCATCTCATATAATATACAAGTCTGACACCTTTTTCTATCACGTGCAATGCTCTGATTCATGCATCCTCGTCTCATGCAATGAGCGATGTCTGCTATCTGCATGTCTGTTGAAAGGAGCAGGATTGTTTCCGTTTTCTTTTTAAAGGACAAAAAAGGCCGGATTACATTTTATGTGCCAGTACTTGTCCCATCGGACTTTTCAGTTAATGATGAGAAAAGTGGGTTTGAATATGATGTGGGAAAGACCTGATACCGGAAAAAACTTGTAGTCTTTCCAGTATATAGATTTTTTCTAGCAAAATATATGCATTTGTCTGTTAGTTCTGGGTAATGGAGAATTGATAACCAATCAGGTGGTTTTTCATCAAAATTCACAGGGGTTTTGATTGGTCAAAGTCTTTCCAGTATATAGATTTTTTCTAGCAAAATATATGCATGTCTGTTAGTTCTGGGTAATGGAGAATTGATAATGCAATTTGGCAGGCCATGATGAAAGATCCATTTGCAAACTACGTTGTGCAGAAGGTCCTTGAGACCTGTGATGATCAAAGCCGTGAGTTGATTCTCTCGCGCATTAAGGTCCATTTGAATGCCCTAAAGCGATACACATATGGTAAACATATTGTTGCCCGTGTTGAGAAGCTCATTACAGCAGGAGGTAAGAACTGATTCGTAGCACCATCCATAAATTGTTACAAATTGCTGAGATTGATTCAATGTGTCACTATCATGTTTGCAGAAAGACGCATGGGAATCTCAACCTCGTATTCTTCTTGATTCCCAAGTGGGGAATGGTGAGAGAACACCTTTACCTTTTGTACAGCTAACAAGGCTGATGATCACAGCGGGGGTTCATCAGCCAGAGGATTTATCTTCTTCGGAGAATAGAGAAGTAGCCACATTTAAATCGCTAGACTACAAATGAGTTAATAATAGTTGTAAATAAAAAAACTAGGGCTGCTGAAATAAGATTTTTTGCTTCTTGTCCCCCTTTTCTTCCCTTGCATGTATATCCGGCAGTGTATTTGACAGTTGACGAAGAAAGGGTGTTTAGGTATTTTTTAGGAAATGCAGGTGGTACATAAGGGCGACAATGCTCTGCCTTCTGAAGAAATGAGTGTACAAGGTTCAGTCTGTAAAGAAAACAGTGTATTGGTGAATCGAACTGTAAAGAAGGGGAACAGAGTGGATGCAGTCGGTTATCAGGTTGTTTGAGACTGCGACTCTGAAGTTTTTCTTTTATAAATATAAATAAATGTCTTAAATGTTTCTTTATTAAGCATTATTATTTGGGGTTGATGCTGTTGTCATAATGCTATATATGTCTTTAAGATTATTTTATTTATGCTGCATAATGGTTTAAGTGGGTCTCGGTTCACATGTGGGACCCTAAACAAAGAATATGTCGAGATCACTAACAGTCTCCTATTACCTATGGCTTATATAAAAGGAGAGTATTTCGTCGTTTAACTCAAACCTTTCCCCCCCATCTACGGCGTTGGGAAATCAACCTGGGAAGAGGTGAACTTATCAAGGTTTCTATTGGAACAAGGGCAAATGTCCCATAGATGAGCGGACTCTGATTGTCAAGAAAAGATATTGGACCTTCACAATATTTTGAGATGTAATCTCATTTCTATTTCTGCCCTGAATATCTCATGTGATGTCCTTTGTGAATTTAATTCTCTCCAAAAAATTAGATAAGACTCATAAGAGCAAGGGTAAAATGAACAAGGCGAAATATAGTGCATAGCTTTATCGTATGGTCCTAGAAGTTAAACGGATAATTCAATTTACTAAAATGAGTTGGTCGAACTTATCGTTGCACCATCTGAATACCGAACATAAATTATAGTTGACTTGGTGGCAGTCAATAGATTACATGTTTTAAGAGTTACTAGAAAGGCCTGTAGCAAGGCTGCAACTTGAGTCGGGTTAGCCTGAACCTAATCCGAAGAAGTCGGATTGGGTTGAATTGGGTTGATGCTCAGGTTAGGGTTAGAGTTTTAACTTTATGAATCCGACTTTATTTTGGGTTGGGTTAAGGTTGACCCTCTGGATTACTCGACCCAATCCGAATCTGATTCTATAATATATATCATATATAAATATATACTATATATATGATCATACATTGATTTGTTTAGATGCATGATAGTTGTATAGCCACCACCACATACTATCATTTATTTCATTTAAGATAATCACTTATCCTAATTGGAAATACTAAAGCTTTGATAACATATTTTATGTTTTCTCAATATTTTATTCTTTATCTCCTTTCAGCTGTTTGCCACCCATAAAAGATCTATCAAAAGTTATAATTAACTATAGTCATTTCAAATACTTTTTTCTGAATTTTGTACTTAAAAACCAATAAAAACATCAACAAATACTAATAAAGCATAGGATTAATATATGTAATGAAAGTTGAGTTAAGATCTAAGATTAAGAAATTCTACAAGATTTTAAGGGATGGGAGAAGGTTAGGTTGGACCCAACCTGAAGTTGACTTTGGATTGGATTGGGTTGAAAGGAATTTAGTTAGGGTTGCCCAAGCCCAGCCCAAAAAAGGATCAAGCCTGGTTTTTGGTCTAAACCCGACAAAGAACAGGCTGGGCCAGGCCAGCCCATCGTGTTACCTGACCCCGGCCCATGAACAAGTCTATGCTTAAGGTAGAGGAGCGTGGAGGTCCTAGTGTAACCACGCTTCCTCTCAAGTCTCAACTCTTAAGACTCAACGTTCTTTATAATACCACCGCAGGAGCAAAGCAAACTCTAATTAGAAAGAAAGAGAGGCATGATAAAATAGACACAGAAATAATGTCCAGGGCTACTTGAACTATATTTACAAGGGGAATATTTAGGAAGAAAAGAACAACCATAAGTGAAAAAAAACAAAAACAAAATAACAAGAAAACAAAACCGAGCGGCCTCGATATCCCAACTAGAAGCTTATAAATTCCTCAAGAGTCAAGAGGCAAAGCATTGGGCTACCTCTGTGGTGCACCAGAGAGGATGGGCCCGGTGAGCACAGATCCGTGCTTCCCCAAGGCTGATATGCTGTGTGAGCGTCTTCTCATTTTGGCATTGCCAGCTGCTGACACACTCTGGTTCTTCTCCATAAGCAAACAGTAGGAACATGGCGACTCTGGCAAAGCCTCATCACTGGTTTTCATGAAGATACCCAAATTCTCTCTGTACTCGTCTGTCAGATTTTCGTCTTTGGAGTCCTCATCATCATCAGACGAGTACCCATTCTCTATCCCATCCTGCATGGCAAGATCCTCATATTCCTCATCAGATTTTGTCGACTCTTCATCAACCGACCCTTCCATCTTCAAATACAGTTAGTAGTTAATGAATAATAGTCAGACTTGAAATTCATTGGGCATCTGAGAGCAATTTCAAACTTGTTCCAAACCTCAACTTAGGAAACGGAAATTATGTTATCTAAGAGTCTTGACAATAATAAACTTAGAAGAATAAAGGTTTTATAGTTGTATAAGCCCAAGGCTGCCGATCTAATAGGGCATTTGCAACAAGCATGTCATTTATTTTGGTACATTGTGTGAAAAGCAGATACAAAAATATATGCTCTCATATGATTTTAGTTTGTCAACTGGAAAATGCAAGGTTGAGAATTGGTTCTCTGGAACACCACAGGATGGGATCCAGAATATAGTTTTTGAGTTGCTCTTAAGCTTTTGTTTCCTAAATTTGTATAAAACTGTGCTCAATCATACCTCTTCATGGATTTGCTTGTCACCTATGTCACTGAGATCTTCATCACTGTCTGCTTCAGGTGGATCATCAGCTTCTTCATCGCTACCAGAGACTGAAAGCTCCTCTTTGAGCTAATTTATGGGAAAAAGGTAGAAGACCACCAGAAAAGCAGAACAAATAAATACAAGTAAATCCACAAGCACTACCCAATACTAAGGAAGACCTAACAAGAAAAAGCATAGAAATTTAACAAAATTGGGAATGAGGTAATTGATGAAAGTGACCAATATCATTGGCTCCAGCACCAGCACTCTTGATACATGATCAACTTGCATTGTTTGCATGGCCATATCACATTGATCAAGATCCATTCCTAATTATGGGGATTCAATACAACCTATCATAAACCAGGCAGTGAATCAGTAAGAAACAGACTGGATAACTACCTCCTTGGCAGGTCCATCAGACATCCGTGGTGAGCTGCAGCATGAAGAATAATATCTGCTTCCAGTCTCGGTCCCATCAGCCCTTGATTCATCAACACTTCCAGCATGGCTCGTGCCAACAGTATCACTGGGCCAGGCACTTATCCCAAAGTTGCCAAATTGAAGGTTAACCGGCTCTGCCTTATCAATCTGCAAAGGTCCATACATTGGACTCCCTATTCCCCTCTCATTCCCAGGGCATGTGACACATTTGCCACTATTATCAATTGAATCTACAGGCCATGCCTTAGCCACAGACCCATCAGTATTGAGAAGAGCCATCAGATGCCTAGAAGATCCTTTTCTCTGGATTAGTTGAAACATCCCCTTGGAGCTCAGTGAGTTGGCAGCACACTGGTTCCTATACTCCTCATCTATAATAGCAACTGTGTTTGTAGCAGGGTCATACAACTGCTCCCCTGCCTCACGCCTGCGCAAACAGCTGAAGACTGTGGCATGGATGGCTGCAACACTCCTGTCAACATTGGTATTGTTTATTTTGGGAACTAGATGCTTATCAGCACGGTTACAGAGGTAGTCTTGAATCGTTCTTATGTTTCGAATATACTTCACATATTTATTTCTTGCTGGGTCCAGTGTCATGTACTTTGCGCGAACTGCAAATCGTTCCAAGTGTTTATCCTCATTTGTGATGTAAATCATGAATGGTATTATCGAAGGATGTTTCTTCATAAGTCCCATCTGGCATGCCGAAATAAAGAAAACATGTTGAATAATAGCACTCAACAAAAGAAAGAACTATTTCCACCCACAAGATACAAAATTTGCACTTTGTGACAACTGTGCAAATCTGAAATGCTATATTTTGGTGTTGTTCTCTTCTCCCTTTCCTTCCTTCCCTTGGTTCAGTTTAGCTTAAGTTAAATTTACTGTGCCAATAATTGGTTGGGCTGTTTGTCCTCTGCAATTCCCTTCCGGGAAGTTAACAACTTAAGATACATTATTCTTCTCTGATTTGACAACCCGGAAGATTTTCTAGATGGTATCTATTGAAAGGAAAATCCTGGCATATTAAATAGGTACCAATCCACCCAATATCTTATTGTGCAAAGTCATGATGTCCAGTTACATAAGGAAATTTTAATCAATACTTGATTCTCTCCCCTTTCACCAGTTACTAGAAACTTAGAAGAAATTCACTAGCTAATTCCAGCAAGATGTTTAATTAAAACCCAAGACCAGCCATCACACTTGCCCATTGTTAGCAACTTTAATCAATTTAAATGGTAAATTAAAATAACATATAGAAAATATAGTAAGATTAAAAAATGATTGAACCAATTCCCTTCATCTCCCAAGTACTATTGGTTAAGGAAATAAGATGGTAAATAGTGAGAGATGAGTGAAGGGTTATTTATTTTCAATGGTATCTACTCACCACAAAGTTGAGGCTTAAGTGAACACCCTCAACAACTACTGATTCTTTCCGTTCTTCCCATGCAGTAATCAGCCGATCAAGACTGTCAATGACCATCTCACTTTGTGCTTTGAATCCCTCAATGGCCATTTGTTTTGCACCAATCAGTTCATTGGTACAAGAACCCACATCAGATGGTCTAGTATCAGGTCTTCCATTTCCAGGTCCTTCAGAAACTTCATCCTTGGACAACGAGTGAGAAACATGTGCTAATTTCTTGGCTTTTCGCTTGGCTTTTGCTTCTGCAACTGCCTCTGGATCCAGAAACTCCCCAGCATGGTAGGTTGATGCCCAGAGTAGTGGATTTTGCTTTTCATTGACAAAACTCCGCATCATGTGCCTAATAGAATCTGTAGAGATCACTGTTGTGATGCCCAACCTGCTACCCTGTGAAAGAACATGCCTACAAGCTCAAATCCCAAAACAAAACAAGAACAGTACAGAAATAATTTCTACATGTTGAATTTAAATGAATTAGATGCCACTATTTGTTTTGGATAAATTTAGATGCCATAATCAATATCAAATAGATGTATGTATCTACAAATTTTAGAGGACAACCATCTTGTTGTCTGGTGGACTGTAGGAATGGACATGTAATGCAAAAGAAACTATTAGGTTTAGCAAAATGCCATATACATAATATTCATGTAAACTATTAACATTTCCATGGTTCAAATAACTACGAAAACCATAATACTCCTTTTCCACCTTCACTATAGTGTACTCTAGTTCAAATTAATATTTGGTGACTTGAGCAAAAAATGAAAAGCAAGGGAAATAATCAATCTTCTAACTGAAGCAGTGGAAAAAGAGTATCCATGTACGAATGAGTGGAAATACCAGCAAAGCAGATAAGGTAGACTTGCCACACCCACTAGTGCCACACAACAACACAGTCACAGATTCCTTCCTCTCTCGGATTCTACAAACAGGAAACCCATGTTACAAATACTTTGTTAAGAATGCTTCTATTGTAATAAGGTTCAAGCAATTACATAGACTGGATTCTAAAACAATGAAACTTCAATGTGCTTTGCCATATAAGAATGTAACCTCAATAACCAGCTTAATCAACTTAATCTCTACAATCTTGAGAAAACAAGCACAAAGAATGCATATGCACCAAAAATTCATTTGTACTCCTCCATTTGGTAAAATAGAAAAACTTAAAAACATCCATTAAAATAACTGCAGGTTATATCCAAGCCCTGCTTGTATTTTTTGCAACCCAAATACCCAATAAAGCACAGTTACCTAAATCACTACATATATTTCTGGTAGTGGTCCATGATGTTTCAAAATTCTAATGAGGAAAATTAGGATACCAATTAAATTATTTTAAAGAAAGATACACATATCAGAATGTTAGGTCCATTTTGTCAAAGAAAAAAAAATAAATGTAAAGCCTAAAATATAGGAAAAACCAAATGATAAGAAAATTCCTTGACTTAAAAGCATGTACCCTTGCAATGTCTCTACCATGCAGTGCCTCCGAAGTACTATTTCACAAAACATATGATTAATCACACTTTACAAAACCTTTTTTGAAGGCAATATAAATTTTATTTACGACAAAATAAACTGAAACTACAAAGATGGTTAGAGGATCCAGCCATACAATGAGGTACTGTAAAACATGTATATACGCACTAGTGATCTAGCAAATGAATTATACTAAACATAGAAGCCCACCACTAGCAATTAGCAAATCAGGTTCATTCACCAATTGTGAATTACACTACAAACCTGAATTTGAACAAAACAAACCCATGATTAAATATTACCTTTGGTTGAATAAAATTTCGAAATGTCCTAATAATTCAATTCTAAAACCTAAAATGCACCTTTCAATGTCCTAATGAACAACAACATTGCCCAAAAAGGTCTCTCTAGATGATAAAAGGCATCCCAAAACTATATATAAAATCACATATTGTCATCGTGTAATTGATAGGTTTTCAATTATAATTTTAATTGAATTATTTATTTTTGGATAGGAGAGAACACTATTTTGCCCCAAGTTACGATTGTTTTTATTGAATAAATGAAAGAAAAAAATGTAACCAGTTGAAGAGCATTCACCTTTGATTTGATACAATAAGTTGACTTTTCAGCAAAATTAGTTTATTAACCCCTGGCATACTCAAAGAAATGAAGTAAAAATCAGGAAATTGGACAGATGCAACTCAATCCTTCAAAAGGAGGAGTCCCTATCAAAACCTAATGAAACCGAAGTTGTAAATAACTTAGTTATGCTGTTTATTTTAGAAGCTCGAAATAAGTAATTTAAAAAAGAAGATACAACAATGTATAGCAAATGCAAGAGAAATAACAAGAAAGCATCATAACATTTGATGTAGCATGAATAACCATAGAAAATACTTAACATTAATTGCTAGTCTGATTCCTTTAACCAATAAAAGAAAGGATGTACAATAAAAACTATAATAAGACATTAACTGCTAGAGAGCATGACATCCAAAAAAATTGTAACCTTGTCAGGTACTCTACAAATCAAATATTTTAAAGACATTACAGTCTCAAATGAACATGACTAAGCATAGTTATGCCCATTTTCCCTCAAGGATAAAGCATTTCAAACATGCTTAACTTAAACTAGGAAAAATGCAAATTTAAAATTAACAAGAAAAAAAATAACAATAGCAGGCTGCTTTTAAATTATATATTGCCATTAATAGATATGTCTTTAGAAGAACCAGGCAGCTCGTTCCAAATGTAAACATAAAGATACCCTAGGTTAGGCAACAGGATGCTGATTCAAATACTTTCACAAGGGAAAAAGTTGTGGTACCTGCAGGCTAAAACCAAGTCACTCCTCTTATTGGGACCTACATACTTGTATAAGGCTAGAGCATCACAGACAACATCCAAGAATGCCTCTCTCTTAACAAAAACAGTTGTCTGTCTTTTGTACAGTTCAAAAGGTTTACTATAACTTCCCTCATTTTTCTCTGAAACCAAATCGTCGCCAACCTCTCCTTGTTTCAGACAACCATCTGAATGTTGGTCACTTTCCTTCTCAGAATACCCTTCCGAAACATCTAAACCAGCAATTTCCATCCCCATAAAAGGCAAAGCATCGCCTGAACATTCATTTCTCATCACTTCAAAAACCCTTCGGCTAATCTGGCGACATTAAAATGAGGATAATTAGAAAATATTTCATGCTTCTCATCTGACAATAGAAACATACAACAAAAGTACAAAACATATATTCAGATAGGGAACATATTATGCTCATAGGAAATTGTTCACTCGCCAAGTAAAAGAGAGATAGTGTTTACTAAAAATTTCCTCGTCCTAATGAAATATATAGAGGACATGCTAGATGACGAAAGCCTTAGAAAACCAATGCCAAATGGAGACATCAACCGCTGGCTTAACGACTGACTTGTTTTTCTAATGCTTCAGTAAATTAACAGACATGAATTACATAAACGTCCTTTCGAAAAGACAAGAATAAACAAGAATTAAAGAAATCATATACAGAAGAACAAGTTCCTGTTTGTTACCTTAAAGGCATGTCGAGCTTTGCATCCCATTAGCTGGAGAGTGCTCTGCAGCACGGGTCGTGTATATCGAAAGGATTCGTTTCCCTTTCCTTCACTCTTCTCTCCGTCGTCCACGACAACTATATACAACAATTTAGGCGCTTCCGCCATTATTGCGGACCAAAAGTGGAATCCCTACCAAACGAATCGAAGAAAAAACATTAATCGCACTGGAATTCCTTGCCACAGGCAATCATAGATGAAAAAACTAGTCAATAACTAAAACTAAAGATAGTAACAAAAATCGAACATCGGCAAAATACAGAACTTTCGTGCAGAACCATAACTAAAAATGAGAAAAAAAACTGCACTTTCTTCCATTAAAAGTTCTGAGAAGATCCACCTTTCTCAGATGTCCACAATTCAAATTAATAGAAGGCCCGGAGCATTAATCCGCCGAGTTTCACAAATAACTTAAAGAAATACCAAAAAATGAAAAGATGAGGAGATAAGGACGAACAAAAACCGAAAAATCTCGTAGAAACAAACAATGTAGGTTTGAGACTCCATGCCAATCTGATGAAGAAGAAGATTCAAAAAGCGAGAAACTAGCAGTACCTGAAAATCTAAATGGATCGGATTCACGAAGGACGAAGGGCGCAAACCGTACGGTATCTGATGTAGTTATTAGGGTTTTTCAGAGACTGGATCCGCCATCTAGAGAGCTTCAAACACGGGTTCGCCATTGTCCGTCACTGGTTCCACGCATTACAGGAACTGAGGCTCCACGGCACACTTTCTCTCTCTTGGTCTCGGTGCCTTCTCTCTCCCTCTCTCTCTCTCTCTCTCTCTAAACTCTAAAGAGACGACTTCCGCTTGGTCTTAGATTTGTTAATTCAACTTACTAAGCTGCATCCTAAGCAAGATTTTAATTAAAAATTTCTGAATGACAAATCCCCTGTATTTATTAAAGGTGAATAGACCCGCGAACTCCAGCCACAGCCACGGTGCTGCACTGCTGCCAATTTCGGGGAATGGCACCTTGTGTAATTTCTTAGAAAAGAAAGGTCCATTATGTAGGGTGTTCAAAACTGTTGGATCTCGTTGATGGACCAAAATTTGTCGTTCGTTCATCAATTTCCGAGATGGGACGTCTTGTATCGTAAATTCGTAATAGATCCCGTGGGACCGGCTAATTGTATAGGTAGAGGCGTAGAGCCGATGCAAAAGGCCAAAAATCCATTTGATTAGAATATTTTGACCTAGATTAGGCCCTGCAACCATGATAGAAAGGATTCCAATCGAACGGGTGTTAATTATAAGATAGAATCCTAAGAAGTGGAGCCGACCAAACGACTATTCTAGAAAAAATAAATATGTGGAAGGTATGGAAGCTCATCAAAAACCAAAAAATAAATAAAAAAAAAATCGAACCGATCAATAAAATCAAACCGATATTTTGAAAAAAAACTGAAGGTATCGATTTAGTTTCGATTTAACCAATACGAAAAATTGGCAGTGTTGCCAGTATATACATTTATAGATTTTATATTATTTATAATATATTATATATTCTATATTCTATATTTATAATATATATTATAAATTTAAAAAAAAATTAAAGAACTGAACCAATCAATTAGTTTCAGTTCGATTTGGTTTATAATTTTTCAAAAAATCAAAGAATCGGTTCGATTTGAAAAAAAAAAACACCACGGTTCGGTTAAGAGGTACAAAAATAGCTGAAAGGACTAAACTAAAAAGAAGACAATTCTACTGGATCGTGATTGCCGGTTTGTCTTCCTTCCACGCTGAGGCCTGAGAGGAGAAAGTAGATCTAACGTTATCAACATTCAGTACATGTACTAAACAGAAGAAAAAAGAAAAGATGATTATCAAGTGTTGCACAGAGGCAGCATATTATCGTGGTTCTAATTGAATCTTTGATTCTAAATTTGCGTTAAATTGTATTGTTTTAGCGGATGGGTCTCACTGCATATTCTGGTGGTTGCGGTGAAATCGACAGCCCTTTTTTCGTATTCACAGACTAGAACATGATCTTTGTCCTTTTATTCCCCTTTTGAGGCTCGTGGCAACACCAAACCAAAGAAGTACATCTTGGCTTGTTGAGAATCTTTCTGTTTTTCCATTTTGTTTTGACAAGAGGTTTTTGGAATTTGTTTGGTGTATTGGTTTATTAGGCTCAGTTTGGAAGGAGTACAAATGTAAATTTATAGAGCGTAAAACCTTGTATTCTGTATTATTTTGTGTTTGTATTATATATATATATATATATATATATATATATATTTGTACTTTTCTGTATGTAAAACCTTTATTTTGTATTATATATATTTGTACTTTTTTTTCAAATTGAGCTTAAATAAAAAATTTCAGGCATAGAAAGACAGTTTCATTTGAACCTTTCCTATTTTAAACAGTTTTAACTTTTATGAACTTTCTAGGGTGTGAATTCTTTCCGGCTTCATGTTATTTATTATTAAAAGGAAAAAACCAAATTTTAGTATTTTGAGCTCTGAAAAGCCCAAAAGATCGTATGAAAAGATTTATAGACGCTTCCAAACCGAGTTCGGCTTCAGTCAGGCAACATTCGTGCATTCGAAGGACGTGCCACGTGTCCTTCGAAACGTGTGAGGTGCTGAAACGTGTGAAAAGGCTTCAACCCTGTTAGTGATGTCTGCCGTTAGTCTGGGTTAACCTCGACGCGAGTTCGGTTCCTCTCCTCTCCTCTCCTCTTGCAGATTCACGCTCTCTCCTCTCCACCCGACGACGACTACAAAACCATCACCGCCGGCGACAAACAATCATCACCTGCGGCGGATCAACCTCAGGTACAAATCAATCTACTGGTTTATAAAATTACCAATAAATGATCATATCAGATTAGATACAACAATACATTACCAAAAAGGGAACCCCCTACATGCGACCTACTTTGAGGACTCTGCCAATCTCTTACCTTTTGTATCTTCATAAAACTCCATCAGAGGCTTTGCTACATCCTTGGTGTGACCTGTAACAAATTTCTAAAGGAATTGGGCCTCAGGCATTTCCATTGCTCTCAACATAGCCCTTTAATCTGCTGAGGCAAACCCATTGCCCTTATCTTCTCTGAAATTAGAAATCGTGGTCTCAAGACAGTAAAAGAAATGGGTAGTCAAGGAAGACACTTGCAGGTAGCTCCATAGTCCCAACGATGGAAGTCATATTCCTCTGGACTTTGTCAATGGAGAGGTTGAGCACCAAAGGAGAGCGACAGATTAGACTCGTTATTTCATCTCTTGATGAAAAACCATAGTTCTCAAGGTTACCCATCTTTTCTCAGGTGGTCTCCATGCGAGACAAAAACAATGAGGGTGAACACCTACTTGTACATCTTGGATTCCTTGGAGAGTCCAGTTCTGCGAATGTATTCCAATTTCTCATCGTCGAGCAAGGTTCCAGAAATTAAGGTAGGACGAGACATGAGCAAATAAATCCAAGTCCTACCTAGTAATACCCATGGATTCATACAGGGAAATGCAGTTTTTCAACTTATCGTGCAAATTGTAGTTGAGAAGGGATGCAAAGAAGATAATACTTGAGGTTCTTCTTTCGCCGCCGGTGATGCTTGTTTTTCGCTGGCAGTGATGGTTGTGCAGTCGCCACCGCCGGGTGGATGGCTGCCATCCAAAACCATTAGGGTTAGTTTTCATGGAAGAAGAAGAGATGCAGTGAAGATGAGATGGAAAAAAGCACAATACCTGAGGTTGATCCGTCGTTGATGATGATTGTTTATCGCCGGCGGTGATAATTTTGCAGTCGCCGCCAGGCGGAGAGGAGAGAGCGTGAGTCTGCGACAGGAGAGGAGAGGAGCCGAACTCGCGTTCAGGTTAAGCCAGACTAACGGCAGACACCACTAACAGGGTTGAAGCCTTTTCGCACGTTTCAGCATCTCACACGATTCGGAGGACACGTGGCGCATCCTCCGATTGCGCGAACGTTGCCTGGACAAATCGTGCTTGGACTGAAGCCGGAAGAGTATTTGGGGTAAACTACAATTCTAGAAAAAGAAAAATAAAAAAAATAAATAAATAGTTCTGGGCTTATCGCAATGCCAAACGAGTGGCACACCGCTATTATGTTGAGAAAGAGGGGCAAATCCTTTTCCCCATAGAAAATATATATATTACGTTTTCCATATTGCTACGAGGAAAAAATCTATGCTGCCGTTGCGCTCTTCGTCTTCGTGTCTTCGTGTCTTCCTATGTCTCCCCTCTCGTCTCGTCATTGAGACGTGAGGCCCACGTGTAATAGGGATTGTTGTCTTCTAATGCGACGTGCACGGATGAATCCCATCAGATCAGTGCGGCGTTAAGAATCAGTCGATTGATTCTGATGTCGATGGGTTTTGAGCGTGCCAATAGAGATGTTAATGGTATTTGAAATTTAATTTTTGTATGTAAATTTGAAATAATCCTATTGAATTTGGATAAGATATAATTTGATAAATATTTCAATTAGACTGATTATTTAACTATTATATATAATATATAATTTTTATATATTTTATATGAATAAAATATTTGTTTGTATATCTATTAATTATCTAAAATAATTAATAAGTCAAATTTAAATACTATTTTTTTAATCAAATTCAAATATTAATTGATTCGATTCTAATTTGATCCATTTACACCCGTATATATTGATAATTAGTGGGCCGTAGAAGATGAATCTTTATAATAAGATTTAGCAGTCTAATATCCATTTCACATGATAGTCCTACTTTTCTATTGGGCCATGGCCCACTAAACGAAATGTGGAATAAATCAAATAATGCAATGGCCAATGGACCGTGTTTGCAGACTTTGTAATGTGTTTATACTTTATACGTCTGGTTATTAAAGAATCAGTAGTGGTTTCGATCTAGACACGTAGAACCATGGGTGATTCACGTGAAGGGTACTGTTCTTACTGATATTTGACAAGGACCTCAGTTCTCATCTCCATCCCCGATCCCATCGGGTTGGGGAAATTGGGTCTTTATTGGGGATGGGAAAATTGTCATCCCTAATTTAGATTCAGTCCTCATAAAGTCATTTTTACACCGTTTTCACATCTCCTTCCATTGTGCATTGGGAATATTTCCTCATGAATAAAAACATACAAGTATGGAGATGTTTTCAATGTATGATTATGAAAGGTTGTGAGGACGGTTGTGTGAGGACTGAATCGAAATTCAATCCTGGTGTTGCCTCGGTGTCTATTGTGTAAGGGTGATCATGGGCTGAGCCGGGCTACGCACTTATGATAAGGGCTATAGCTTAGGCTCGGGCCTGAAACATAAGCCCTAGCCCAGGTCTACACGGGCCTGGGCCGGGCCAAGCCTAATTCTGGGCCAATGTCTTTCATATATATAAAACGTTACATATCTATAACATTTTATCTTAAATGACATAGTATGCATATAAACTTATTTTATACATTATATAATATAAATTATACATGTCATGTTGTAATATTTATGTTTAAAATATATAATATAATATAATATAAAATAATTTGTATACATTATACACAAAATGTGTAAGTTTAAATATATGCGGGCCGGGCTAGGCCTAGGCCAGGCTTGAAATATTAAGACCAAGCCCGGCCCTAAAATTTACGGGCCTGGGTCGGGCCTAAACACAAAACTCAAGCCCAGGCCCAGAATTTTCCGGGGTGGGCTGAAATGATCACCTTCACTACCGTGACAATTCTTTGACTTAACTAGACTAATATGTTTAAACATGTGACTTATTGATCAAGTCAAATGAATCAAGACTTTTCATTTACAAATTACAAATATTTGTCGTACATTAAGTCATTAAATTAAGATTTCAACCAATCGTGTTAAAGATGTGACAACCTATTTAATTTTTAGGGCAAATCTCTTAAAATATCCCTAAGTTTTAGGAAACTGACTAATTCTACCCATATTATCTTAAAGTACCCCTAAGTTTTATGACAATTGACTAAGTCCTCTCTTGTTGTTAACATCTATTAGTGTTTCATCACAATCTATTCACATGTGACACCAAGTCGTGTATAAAAGTTTTTAAAAAACCCAATATTACCCTTTTGTGGTTGATTTTACCCTCCTATATTCTTTAAATTTTTAAAATAAGAGGGTGTTTAGGAAGTCTTTTTAAGGGGTCATTCAGGCTTTTCAAAGCTCGGAAGACCTTGTACTGAGCTTTTTCGTTTGGCAACCACAAGATAGAAAGCCAAAAAGATAGGCCCCCTAAAAAGCTCGAGAAAGCTGAAAATTGTACAAAATCCAAAAGCTTCATTTGAGGCTTCTGGTCTTTTTGAGCATATGAGATCTTTCTTCGTT